GCTTAAACTGTTAGGAGGTGAGCCAACAATAGTTTTACACTTTAACACATTCCCTCACATGTAGGCTGGACAATGGGTAATCGTGTGGGTAAATTAATTGGAAACAATGGATAATCGTGTGGGTAAATTAATTGGAAAGCCCAACACGTGAATATTTAAGCCCGAGATATATTAAAGACCTAACAGATGACAATTTTTAAATGGGGATAAAGAGTGCAATTACGAGGGTTTGAACTCAGGACTTCCCGCTTTGATACCATGTTAGTTTACCAATCCATCCCAAAAGCTTAAGCTTTTAGGAGGTGGGCCAACAATAATTTTATACTTTAACACTCCCCCTTACATGTGGGCTGGACAATGGGCAATCGTGTAGGTAAATTAATTAGAAAGCCCAACACGTGAATATTTAAGCCTGAGATATATTAAAGACCCAACACATGATGACAATTTTAAATAAGGATAAAAAGTGCAATTACATGGGTTTGAACTCAGAACCTCCCGCTCTGATATCATGTTAATTTACCAATTCATCCTAAAAGCTTAAACTATTAAGAGGTATGTCAACAATAATTTTATACTTTAACAGTGAGATTCGCAATGTTGTGAGCTTCACTTCTTTACAAGTTTTTTTTTTTTTTTTTTGGTCGCACTGGTAATTTGAAAATTGACTGAAACTATAACATGACGGTCAATGTAAATTTGGTGCTATAATATTTATCATCAACCAGTTGCATTTTATAATTCCCAAAAGAAAAAAAAAAGCTTAGTTAAATTGAGAATTTCCAGCTAAACTGCGTTCAGAACACCCTAGTAATAACTTGTGTGTCTATTTATTTAGTACAGCAAGTTTGAGATAAATGTAAGGATTTTTGTTCTTATTATTTTATTTCCCCACAAATAATCATAGATTACGTGGTTGTAAGCTTAACCTAATAGCAGTTACACTAATCACCATTAATGTTTTATCAAGTTCACCCCGTGAATCCCCTCCGTTCTCCAATATATAAAATTACCAAACTAGTCATATCAAGTTAATACTGTTATATACAAAAAAGAAAGTTTTTTTTTTATGTTATTGAAGTTCCATAAAAAGAATATTCTCAAAAAAAAAAAAGTTCCATAAAAAGAAATACAAGCAAAAAAACTTTCACATATAAAAGCATAATTTCATCAGGTGCATTGTTGAAACATTTAAAATTAGGGGAAAAAAAAAACTCTATTAAGTTGATGTCGGGACACAAACAACCATTTGGACTGCATGGTCATTTTATTTTTCTTTTTTTGGGTAAACATAAACTCAGTAGAAACAAAAGAAAACCAGCAAACAAACAACACCGACAAACAAAGAATACAAGGAGAGCTTTAGACAAAACCCAATGTTGGTCATTTATAACCTATGTAACTAATTTTTTTTAATGGTACTGGCCTGCAAGTACATGTATATTATGTTTAATTATAAGATAGCACGTGTGAGAAAAGTGAATGTTATTATTGTTAGTTTAAAGTAAGAAGTTGGACATAAGAGTCATGCCGTCAGTTTCACGTACGAATTAATCTTTAAACTTTCATCTGCATTAATTGACGAATTAAGACGTAACAAAAACATTGGGGAGAATGTACTAAATGGTGGCTGCCCGTGTTACTACATCTTGGAATGAAACATACTTTTTTTTACGAAGCATTATTTTTGAGACAAAGAATATATATGTATACATATTGTTGTAAATTTTCGGTGAAAAGGTTATTTCACTTTACATGTAGGAATTTTTGTTGTTTTGAATTGTTGGTACTAGTTTTTTAACGCCCGCATCGATTCATGTTCGCATTAAAAATTTATCACGCACAGTACAAATCTATTCATGTTACAAATTAGACCATTTAAAAAATAATCAAATGCTTGTAACAAAATTTTTTACGGTGAGGTAAATCGCATTCTCCACTATAAATACGTACGAATAAATACCAATTATTCAATCAAGTTGTTTGCTGAAAGCAAAACCACGTAGCATTTTCTTTTTAGGTGGATATCATGTATTTTCCGCTGGACTCATTTTTGTTTGATTATCCCTATGGCGATTATCAACATTCAATTGCATATGTTGCTAGTACAATATACTTTAATCATATATGTATTGTATGACAAAATAATTGAAATGTCAGACAAAAATATAATATATTTCTTTTTTGGTGTTATAATGGAATTTCCCAAAATATTTTATAAAATCGGAATTTTAGTACAGCGGAAAGAGAAAATGGCTGAGGCCGAGGACGAGGGTAAAAACAGGAAAATGACAATTAAACACATCGCAGTGTTAGCAGACATCTAAAGACGCTTGCTATTATTTTTATATAGGGCCGGTAATATAGGTCACGACACGATGATACGACTCAAAAATGACACGAATTTTATGGGTTAGGGTTGAGAAAAAAGAGATTCGGGTCAGAATTGGGTCGACCTGAAATTGACACAAAAAATACGGGTTAATTTTAGATTGGACCCGCCTAACCCGAACACGACACGAAACTCGTAAAAAACTAAAAAATACATATATTTTTCATTTCATATTTTAAATTTTATTATGAACTTGTGATATCATGATAGTTATACTCAAAATCTTATACTATTATTTGCTTAATTTTAATGGATGTTATTGTAATTTAGTGTGTTATGAATTTTAAATTATTTCTAATATGTAAAAAACTAAATAAAAGTATACAATTTTCGTGTCAATTTCGGGTTCACGGGTCAATTTCGGGTTCACGTGTCAATTTCGGGTTGTGTCGTGTCAGCTCATAAAGTGGTCGTGTCGTGTTCGTGTCGCGTTTTTTAAAAAATTTCGTGTCACGGGTCGTGTTCGGGTTGACTAAAAATTTTAAAAAAATGATCAAAACACGACACGTGACACGAATTGCCACCCCTATTTTTATCATTTTTTATTTTTTTTATTTTTATTTTAACAAGAAACCCATGAAGAAGCGTAACGGTCCACAGAGTAGATTGCCACCTCATTTGTGGCCCAACAAGATCCACGTGTCGTCTCTGAACTTCTTTCCCTACGATGCTCCGACGCAGAGACGGTCGGGCGGCACTGGAAAACTAACGCCGTTATAAACTTTGACGAAAAAGTGTGTGGACGTCCCAAGGCAGGGTGTTTTACGGCGACGTGGACAGTAACAGAGCCGCCTTTTTCCATAAATCCCCCCGCCATGCTAAGAGGACGTGTCGCTATCACCGTCGTAATTGCTCCTGCCATTTTGTCCTTTTTACCCCCTCCCCTACCTGCCACTTTTCAGAATCATCATTTTTCCGTTTAAAAATAATTAAATAATATTTGTCCTTTTTTCTGTTCGAAATTAATAAAATAAACTAATATATAATTCGAACTTGGATGGTTCCTTTTTTGGCTACAAAAGTTGATTAAGACATTGTTGGTTTTACATATTTGAATTGAAGTTTTATAAATTTAAATTTTTAATTAAAGTTGAGATATGATATTTTTTAAAAAAGTTTAATTATAATAAAAAAATTAGATGTGATATTTTTTAAAATTTTTAACTGTAAAAATTTAAAATTAAAAATTTAAATTGGTGAAATGAATTAGGCATATTTTTTTTGCTACTTAATTTGAAGGAGAAAAACTCTGAACACACGCAGCCAATTCCAGCAACGTTTGCTCTCCATTGCAGGACATCTGCTTGCTTTAAGGCCGACACTTTAAATTTATTTCCTTTTTAAATAAAATTGGGTTGTTTAATATATAGTGTTTTGGGGTAGATATAGATAATCCAATTAAGAGGGAATGTGTACCCCAAAACACTAACAAGTCCGTTCAACACATACAATAGTAAGTAAAAGTATATTTCTTAAATTTTCAAGCCAAAAAAAAAAAAAAGTTTAGTTCTATATATTATTTATAATTTTTTTATTGATTTAGTGCAGGTGGACCCCACCAATTGTAACATGGTATCTAGCTAGGCCATTTATATACATATACAGTTTTCTATTTTTCTTTTAACCTTGCTCGGGAAAATGAAAGGGTGATGGTATTTATGTCGGGAGTACAAATGAATAGTGACGGCTATAAAATTTTTAAAACCCTTCCTCGTTGTTTGAGAAAGAGAGAGAAAAAATTGAAAGGTGAGGATTGGCGGAGAAGGCCATAGAAAAGGGAGAGACACGAATCATGCATTTATATGAACAATATTGAACATGCAGAACAATAATAACAATAGACGCATAGAACTTATCGGCGTGAAGTACTAGCAAATATCGCCAAACCCTTTGGAAAAACAAGAAAAAATGGAAGAAGAGGAGGCATATATAGTAGGGAACACATATATTATATTTTGTATTTATATATCTATAGCGAGAGAAATCTAGCTTAATTAGCATTAATAATAATATTAAGAAAAAGGGAGAGAGAGAGAGAGAAGAGAAAGAAGACAGGAAATGCAGGTGTACAAAACGCACCTACACATTACACACCCAGTACGACCCACCTCATCACACATTAACCCCTTTGCCTGCTGCCTTTGCCCTTTTTTTCCCTTCCTTTTCCTAGTTGTTTCTTCTCACTCCTCCAAGAAATATATATATTTTATACATAATATAGTTGTATTTATACTTATGTACGAATATAAACGTTACAAACAACATCATTTCTCTTCATTTACGCACACACTTGACCTCTCTCTCTCTCTCTCTCTCTCTCTCTCTCTCTCTCTCTCTCACAAAATATATATAACACATACAAACAGGGCGTGTACTGTGAGAGACGGGAAAAGAGAGAGAAATGGTGTAGTATATAGTCCTCTATGTGTGTTGTGGCGTGTTGGCGGGGGAGTGGAGGTGGGCAGAGAGAGAGGGGTTACAAAGACCCACACATTGAACGCTTCTTGTTGGACACGGGACACCCTATTGTTAAGCCTTTTCTTAATTTGTCTTCTTTCTTTCTTGTATTTTTTTTCTCCTTCTGGGTCTTTTTCTTCTTCTTCCTTGTTTCTCTTCTGGGTTCTTCTTCTGCATTGATTCCCATATTCTTCTGAGGAGATAAAAGGACTCCGGCTTTTGAGTCTTTTGAAAGAGAGAGATGGGTGGCACGGAAGGAGCGACTAAGGAGAGCAAACGATGTTCAGGAAGTGCTAATTCGCCTGCTAATAACAACAACAAAGGTGATACATATGAACTTCAATATTTTATGTGTGTGCATATATGTTTGTGTGTATATCTATATATATATATATATATTGTGTCTCATGAATTGTTGGGGTGGTACTGTACCTAGATAAGACATGTGATGCTGAAAGCTATTATTTTCTTTTTTCCAAAAAAAAAAAAAAAAAAGAAATCAGGCAGGCCTGTATCAGAAAGTTGTATTTTTTTAGCCATATTTCTCAAGAGATGTTAAAAAACCGTCGTGCATGTGATGAGCAACATTTTCACACGGACATTCATTCTCTTTTGAAATAAAAAAATCTTGATTTATGATTGTGATGAGCATTATGATTCTGCTAGAGACCCTCTTTCTTTATCTAAGAAACACAAGCATATAAATATATATATATATATTTGTATGTTATTTATAATATAATATTGATTTAAAATTTATTTGACTGATTGGAACGTTAAATCTAGACTGGCCTGGCAGTGACTTATTGTTCGGGTGTAACCGATTAAAATGTTCTTATAACTCATATATATACCCATGTAAATACACTTCTTGGGCTCTCCGTGTAATACTCAATCGCCCTTCAAATGGGTTTTAATTGTTTTTTATTTTTTATTTTTTATTTTTTTTTGGCCCACTATGTATTGATTTATAGGTGACGATGAGATAGATGATTTGTACATTGAACTATGGCATGCATGTGCGGGCCCCCATTCTCACGTTCCGCGGCTTGGTGAGAAAGTTTACTACTTTCCTCAAGGTCATGTTGAACAGGTTTTGCTCCGCCCTCGCTAATATTATTTTTCTACCATGTTGTTTCAACTTTCATGTAAACTGTGGGCCGTTCGGTTGCTAATTCGAGTTTTTAATTTGAATTGAGATGTGATATTTTGTGAGTTTTTTACTGTAGTAAAAAAGTTAAATGTGACTGTTTCTAAGAGCTTTTTACTATAACAAAACTCGAATTTTAAACTCGAATTAGTGAAAAGAATGAGACTTAAATATTCCGCATGAGTACACTCAAAGTGCAACCTCTAATCATTGCTAACATGGCTTCATTATGGTAAAACATGAGAAAGATTAGCTTTATTTGCTTGGAAACTCAAAGGATTTCATTATGGGTGATAATCTCTTTGAATGCCCACAAATATGAGAAATATTAGCTTCATTTGTATCTCACATGTTAAATGATATTTGTCACAAAATTTTATTGGTTCGATGCTCTTTAAGGCTGTGTTTGGTGGGAGGGAAAGAAAAATGTATAATCTAAGTGAGGAAAATGGAGAGGAAGGGAGGGCCTTTCTGTTGTTGTGTTTGATATGGATTCTCTTCCTTAATCCTTTAGTGTTGAGAGAGAAAAAAATTGTTGTGTTTTAAGGATTCGAAATCCTTTAACCAATCCATTCCCTCCGCTTTCTTTCCTACCAAACACCATGAGTCTCAAAATACTCCACTAATCCCCTCACCCCTCTCCTTCATTCCACTTTTCTCTCCTACCAAACAAGCTCTTAAATTTAGTTGTAGCTTACGAATTTTGAAAACGAGTACTGATGATTCCATTTAACTTCATTTATAGTCTAAACATTCCATATGTAATATGATAATAGATAATGAGTTGACAGAACCATAACTGCCTTGTTTACTTCATGCGAGCTTGCATTAACTTGACTGATTCTCTGGGACAGGTTCAAGCTTATGCTAACCAAGATGGTAATATGGAGATGCCAATCTACAATTTGCCATCTAAAATCCTCTGCAAGGTTGTTTATATTCAGCTGAAGGTACATCATTTATCCTTGAATTTTCACCAGCCAAGATATATAATTTACTCTTCTGAAATTCTACTTTTTTCATGATGGTACATTGGAGTGGATTAAAATTTTTGGCTCATGAATTTTTGTATGGTGTCCATCTATTTTTGCAGGCTGAAGCTCACACAGATGAGGTTTATGCTCAGATCACTTTGCTTCCACTGACTGAGGTTTGTTTCTTATCATATTAAAAATAGAAGAAAATATTAAAAAAAAAAAAACCATGTTAGCTAACAAGTGTTCTTATGATTCTGCTAAAAAACTAAAACAACAATAATCCAATGTCTCAGTATTTTCAAATTTCTTGTGTTTTTGTTCTATGCATGGTGCATACCCTTTTATCATTGTAGAAATTCATTCACACTTGTAGCCTTCTCTCTCTCTCCCCCTTCCTCTTCTTCTTTTCTAGTTAGAATTTGCCACGATAGATGAGTACTAGTTATGATTTCTGTGCCTCGCAATCATGAATTTTTTAAACTCATATATCACTCATTTCCTTTGGTTTTCAAAAGCGGTCCGTTTCTTTGTATGCATGATCATAACAACGATACTGCTGAGTTCCTGCAGCAAGAGCTAAGCTTAGAGGATGAAGAAGTGCTACCTTTTCCTCAGAAAAGCAGTGCATTCTCTTTCAGCAAGACTCTCACTCCTTCAGACACAAGCACACATGGTGGATTCTCTGTTCCTAAACGATATGCTGATAAGTGTTTTCCGCAACTGGTCAGTATTTTCGCATGAGTTTTTACACAAACGACACCCTTAAGTTTTTTTAGTACACAGCATTTTCTTTCTACAATCATTTTATTTGAAACAAGGAGTGTTACGCTTGTACTTCACAAAGTTCGCATCAAAAGGATTTAATTAAGACATCAAAGTTTTTTTTTTTTTTTTTTTTTTTGGAAAATTATGTTGGCAGGTCGTTAACAAGTTATGGTTGGTTGCTTGTTGCAGGACATGTCGCAGCAACCACCGGTACAAGAACTGGTTGCAAAGGACCTGCAAGGATTCGAGTGGCACTTTCGTCATATATTTCGCGGTATCTTTTATTTTAGACAACTTTGAAGACAGGCCTAAATATAAGATTTAGGCATATAATTAGTTTTTAATTGAACCTCTAAAATCTATGATTAGTTCATTACAACAGTAAATAGGAGTTTAAATTTGGACAAAACCATCACTTTTCATTCATTCCTGTCTTAAATTTCTACCTTCTCCGTCTCTTGGAAAACTAATTTTGTAGTTTAAACTAAATATTCACCAAAAACTATTGCAGGTCAGCCAAAGAGGCATTTGCTTACTAGTGGTTGGAGTACATTTATCTCATCAAAGAAGCTCATTACTGGGGATGCTTGCATCTTTCTTAGGTCTCTCTCTCTACACACAAGCGCGCGCGCGCGCACACACATATATATGTGCTATTTTTTTTCTTTACTTTCCAAGAAGCCATAAGTCATGTTTTCGTTGTTAAACTAAGCTTGGTCAGGAACGTCTAATGCTGAGCTAGCTGTCTTCTGTTTTGGTTACTTATAAGTAGGAACCCTTGTTTTGCAGAGGAGAAAATGGAGAACTTCGGGTCGGTGTTCGTCATGCAATGAATAGAAGAATCCCGAGCAATACATCAACGTCTGTTATCTCCGGACACAGCATGCAACATGGTATACTTGCCAGTGCTTTCCATGCCATTTCTACTGGAACCATCTTTACTGTGTACTACCGTCCCTGGTAAGAGATCTTAAGAGAACTAGCGCCCTTGTAGATTGTTTTTCTAGCAGTATGTATCAATTGGCTTGTGAATATCAGAAGTGAAGACCTTTTTATATATGCTTCGTACGCAGGACTAGTCCCGCTCATTTTATGATACCTCGTGATCAATACCTGAAGTCAGCTGATCGTGAACATTTGGCTGGAACAAGATTCAGATTTGATCTTGAAGGTGAAGAATGTATAGAAAAGAGGTACAATTAAGGCCAAGCATTAAGTTGGTATTTTGGCTAACATTTTTTAGTCTAATTACATTAGGAGTAACTTTTCTTGTCAAGTTTGTCAGAGACACAAATCTCATTCAATGGTGGACATATAGATTATTTGTAGATAATTTTGGAATCAATTATATTCTTCTGATTGAATGCATTCATTTTGTCAACTAGGTTTACAGGTACTGTAGTAGGTGTTGAAGATCATGATCCCATAAGATGGCCTAATTCAGAGTGGAGGTGTCTCAAGGTAGTAATTTAGTATCCAACTCCTAGGTAGATTTTCTCTGGGTGTTTTTTTTTTTTGGGTAAAAAATTTCTCAACCTACATCTCCTTTTAGGTCAAATGGGATGCCAGTTCAAATATGTCTTCACTTCCTGACAGGCTTTCTCCTTGGAGCATCAAGCCAACAGATTCTACTCACAATGCTGATGCTTTTCTCCGATCCCCACCGAAGAGGGGGCGTGAACTTGATCTTTCATCGCCTGGATTTTCTAGCTTGGCCAGAGAAGGTTACTAGTCCCCTAACATCCTCTTTCTTTTTGGAGAGACTCTAGATTTAGAAAAGAAGTTACCTTTTGTTATTTATTTTTGCCATGACTGATCAAACTCGCCTTTTCCTTTAAGGTTTCTTGCTGAGTTCAGTCAAGCGGATTATGCCACAAAGACAAAAGGAGGTCTTGCAAGGTCAAGAAATTAGCAATGTGCATGTTCATGAACCGGGTGCGAAAATGGCACCAATGTTGCCACAGTTCATTATGCCACCAAATCCCAACTGGAAGAGCCTCTTGCAATTGGAAAATCATCTCCAGTTTCCAATGCAAGCCCAAGTTTATCAGTGTCCCAGGGGTGAAATTGCATTTCCTGGTGAGACTATGGTGCCTTCAAGCCTCACTAACCAGTTGTGCTCAAAGTTTGCTACTTATAGCAGAAGCTTCTCAGTTTCAAATGGAAACTCTACCAATTCTGGGTCTCAGGAATTTGCTGAGCAGAGGAGCAATGACGAAGCTCCTCGCCAACCGAATGGCTGCGGCAAATACATGCTTTTCGGTGTCAATTTGTTCCATGGTCACCCGGAGCTCCCTTCACCACAAGTTGCTACTTCTAATGAGCTGTTAAGCTCTTTTTCCCTTCCTCCAACTTCTCAGTCTAGTGTTTCTGAACCACCTGTCCATGTTTCAGATTCATCTAATAACAATAGTGTTTTTGGCCTCCTTTCTGAGAAACAATGCAAGCAATGTTGCTCAATCACTAACAGGAGTTGCTCAAAGGTACATACATGAATTACTTTTTTTTTTTTTTCCTCTTCTCTCTTTAAGGTGATAGAATAACATTATCTAAAACCTTAATGGTTGACTTGGTTATGGAAGCTAATGTTTTTGGACTTCTCAACACTCATTCCACAGGTGCTCAAACACGGAACTGCCCTTGGAAGATCCGTGGACCTCACCAACTTTGGTGGGTATGAAGAACTCATCTCCGAGCTCGACGAGATGTTCGAGTTCAATGGAAGTCTGATAGATGGAAGCAGTGGGTGGAAAGTGACCTACATGGATGATGAAGGAGACTTGATGTTAGTAGGAGATTATGATTGGCAGTTAAGTCACAACCAGTACTTTCCCAAAAATGCGCTTGTTTAACTATTATAGCCTTCATTCTTACACACTACATTGATCTAATTTTTCCTATTCAGTAAATCTGTTTTACACTTTCAGGATGTTCAGATCCGCGGCCAGAAGGATGTTCATCTGTCCAAAAGAAGAAATCAACAAAATGAATCCAGGGTCACTCAAGTCCACCATTTCTCTACTTGATGAGTGAAAAATGGTTTCAATAAAAGTACTCTTTTAAGAACTTGTCATCTTTTTGTTGAAAACCTTTTGTTGTAACGCCTGAAGGATGGTAACCGCTTTGTGATAGGCAGCAGGACTGTTATTGCTGCCCTGAATAAATCCCCTTAAAATAGGAAAACACCACCTTTATTTCAATAATAATGGACAGCTTGTTTAGAAAATAAATTTTATCTTTAGCTGTTTTATATCAAAACTAGCTTCATTTATTATCTATTATTTTTTTTTGGTGAAGATTACGTACTCTCAAGTGAGATCAGTTTTAGTAAAATTGCCGCATCAATTGTTGTTCAGCATTGATCACGTATATTTGTTTGTTTTTTTGGTGAATGAAGTATGCTTGATGTATTTGATATCTATGGATAAATTTAAATCCTTAAGGTACCAATATATGAGTAGCTTAAGCTGTTCGTGGTTTTTTTTTTTTTCCTTTAAATGTCTTCTTTTTGTTTTAAATATAAGTAGGTTATTTATAGCCTAAACATCAATTATTCAAATTACTTTTACTATTTTCTGCAAGTTTTTATATTTTATTTTTTTTGAAAAACTTCCCTCTGTAAAATGACATGTAACTTGTTTTATAGTGTAAAATCGTTGACAGAGCGGTATGTCGTTTTCTCGTTAAGTCGAAACGACATTAGAGAGGAACGACACGCACGACCCCCTAAAAAGGAAAATAGCAATAATCAATCGTTCCACAACTGTTAGAGAAAAAAAAAAAAAAAAAAAAATCTCTCTTTAATCTTCTCGGACAGGCCACGTCTTCATCCTTACAATCCTCAGACAGAGAGTCCAGCTTCTGTTTTCTTTCCCGCCACCAACAATTTCCACTCTCAAACTCAAATAAAACAAGGACAAAGAAAGAAAGAGAAGAAAAGTAGGAAACCCATTGCCCCCAAAATTCCCAAAACCATGAATTCTTTGCTGGGCGTTCGTCCAATTACTGCCTGCTCAAACTCCAATTCCTTCTCTCGCTCCGCAATTTTCGTTGCACTCGCCGTCGCTTCGCCTTCCCTCAATGTCTCGGCGTCGTCGCTGAGTCTGACGATTCCGACTCCGAAGAGAATCCATCTCTCGCACACTGCTCTGAGATCTCGGTCTTTTTCAAATTCCCAAATGGGTCATCGGGGAGGAGAAGAGGAAAAAGAAGAAGAAGAAGAAGAAGATGTCCAAGTTGAAGACCTCAGGGTTCCAGACCATTGGTTGGAACCTTCCAAGGCCTTGGAGGTATGAATAAATTTTCAATTTCTTCTTTTGATTTTGCATGATCTTTGTCAAATCTGAGTTAGTTATTTTTTATTTATTCATTTATTTTCATTGAACTGGGATTGCTGGAAATTTAATAGGATTTTTGGCATGTTTGCCCATGATTTTTTGGGTATTGACGAACTTCTCTCTTGAACTTTTAATTTTTTCGCTTTACCCCCAACTTTTCAAATCCATATAATGTGCCCCCTTTTATCATTTTTGGGTCGGTTTTGGCAGTTGATTTGGAATCCTCATGTGAGACGGTCGTTGACTTTTCTGTTTAACTAATTTAAAGGCCAATGGTAAAAGGGACACATTGCGGCAATTTTCCAAGTTAAGAGTGAAGAATCAAAACTAAAAGTTTGCGGGGTGCAAGTTATCAAAATACGGAAACTTTAGGGGCAAAAGTGCCAAGAAACCTAATTTAGAAATGCAGATTTAGTATTAAGTCAGTAGAGCATCTATTATGTTTTTGTGATTGTTATCCTTTAGCTGATTTCGAGACGTTTTCTGGTTCTTAGTGGTGGTTCAGTTATAAGTTGTTCGTCAATTCTGAATAAGCAGAACTAGTTTAAGGAATTATGGGCTTTGCTTTGTGAAAGAAGGTTTCGGTAAAAACCAGAAATACCACTCAAGATGATAAAAATATTATTTATGTCACTACACTCAAAAATAAACAATTGTCATTCCATTAATAAAAGAGAAAATAAAAGGCGACAATGCCACCCAATTATTTAAAATGACACGAAGTACAAAACCATGGCAAACCATGTACTTTTTTCAAGAGGGGAGGGGGGAGGAGGGAGGAGGGGGAGTGGTTTTTTGGCTGTTATGCATATGAATTGGCATAAAAAGCTTGTCCTAGGGTCTTCCTTGTTTTCTTTCTTTATTATTTTAGAAAGAAAGATAAGTTTGGTGAAACTTTTTAGGCCTTTTCAAAGCTGTATCAACATGATAAAACATGTGACAAATAGATGATACTGACAGCAATTGCATGTCATCACATGTATTCAGTTTTTTTTTTTTTTTTTTTTTTCTTTTGATAAATTATTCAGTTTCATGTTAAATGCTGCTCAATGGGGCTTTTAAGGATCATTAGGTGGCAGCCTGTTAGCAAGAAACGTTTGTGTAACTAATAGGTCTGAAAATTTTAGATGTTATTATATGTTAGTAATCTCATCATGAAATATGGTCTATCATTTGTGCTAAGAATGTCCTAAAACATTATCTCGAACTTGACATTGGTTTACCTCGGCTCTATACTGGTCCACTTATTGCGAACTTGATGCTTTTCCCGAATATCTGTTCAGGAATCAGAGTGGCTGAGGGTTACACTGCATAAATGGTTGGATGATGAGTACTGCCCAGAAGCCACCAACGTCAAAATAAGCAAGGTTGCTGCTTTCTCGTACTACAAAAGTTTAACAGAAAAGCAGACAGACCTCGGTGAGATTCTGCTGAAGATGGCCAGAGAATTGGAAACCATTTCATATCAAGAGAGTTTTCATGGGGCATTCTCATCAGCCAACGCAGCTATAAACTTGATTGCTGAACGCATAGATCAGCAGGCCTAATTTTCTAGCTAATTGGAGGTTTGGACCCTAACCACACCTGCCTTTTCCTTTGCTAATTGTCATTGCACTCCCTTCCCGTTCTGTGAAATTCAGTTTTATGACACCGATGTAGTAATAATGACGACAGGTAGCTTACAAACTTTCAAGAAAATCAAGATTCTTAAATCAATCTCATACCAAAAGCCGATCCTATGTCAAAAACTACTTCTGCTATGGGGAGACCTATTCCTATTGTGCTTCAATTTTTTATGTTCTATACTTATAGTAGACACATAAAAACGACGATATGAGGCTTACAAACTTTACCGTAGTCCAAATTTTTAAATCGATCTCCTACTAAAAAGTTGACAAGATTGTTTGTAAAAGTCCTATAATGATTTTGGACGACGATAATGCTGCAACTTCCTCTCTTCTATACTTGAGAGGCATAACAATGCATACAGCATTGTTCGAACAATGAGAAATATGGTTTACAGACTTGGTATAAAATTAAATTCTTTGATAGATCTTGTGCACAAAAGCAATTATATGTTGTTGTGTGGGAAAATATGAGCTGCCACGTCAGAGACGGCCGACCCTTCCAAGGAGTAGAGACATCTAGACGGCCGACCCTTCCAAGGAGGAGAGGCTTCCAGACGGCCGACCCTTCCAAGGAGGAGAGGCTTCCAGACGGCCGACCCTTCCAAGGAGGAGATGCCTCCATAAAGAAGGTTCTTAAACCTACCAAGAGCCCCAATGCGCATCCATGAGGCCGCCCCCTCCAAGGAGGAGAGGCCTCCATGAATAAGGTTTTTAAACCAATATCCATGAGGCCGACCCCTCCAAGGAGGAGAGGTCTCCATGAAAAAGGTTCTTAAACCTGCCAAGAGTCCCAAAGGGCATCTATGAGGCCGACCCCTCCAAGGAGCAGAGGCCTCCATAAAGAAGGTTCTTAAACCTGCCAAGAGCCTCAAGGGGCATCCATGAGGCCGCCCCCTCCAAGGAGGAGAGGCCTCCATGAAGAAGGTTCTTAACCCGGCATCCATGAGGCCGATCCCTCCAAGGAGAGAGGCCTCCATGAAGAAGGTTCTTAACCCTGCCAAAAGCCCCAAGGGGCATCCATGAGGCCGACCCCTCCAAGGAGGAGATGCCTCCATGAAAAAGGTTCTTAAACCTGCCAAGAGCCCCAATGGGCATCCACGAGGCCGACCCCTCCAAGGAGGAGAGGCCTTCATAAAGAAGGTTTTTAAACCTGCCAAGAGTCTTAAGGGGCATCCATGAGGCCCCCCCTCCAAGGAGGAGAGGCCTCTATGAAGAAGGTTCTTAAACCTGCATCAATGAGGCCGACCCCTCCAAGGAGGAGAGGCCTCCATGAAGAAGGTTCTTAAACCTGCCAAGAGCCCCAACGGGCATCCATGAGGCCGACCCCTCGAAGGAGGAGAGGCCTTCATAAAGAATATTTTTAAACCTGCCAAGAGCCCCAAGGGGCATCCATGAGGCCGCCCCCTCCAAGGAGGAGAGGCCTCCATGAAGAAGGTTCTTAAACCTGCCAAGAGCTCCAAGGGGCATCCATGAGGCCGACCCCTCCAAGGAGGAGAGGCCTTCAGGAAGAAGGTTCTTAAGCCTGCCAAGAGCCCCAAGGGGCATCCATGAGGCCGCCCCCTCCAAGGAGTAGAGGCCTCCATAAAGAAGGTTCTTAAACCTGCCAAGAGCCCCAAGGGGCATCCACGAGGCCGACCCCTACAAGGAGGAGAGGCCTCCATGAAAAAGGTTCTTAAACCTACATCAATGAGGCCGACCCTTCCAAGTCGGATAGGCCTCAATGAAGAAGGTTTTTAAACCTGTCAAGAGCCCCAAGGGGTATCCACGAGGCCAACCCTTCCATGGAGGAGAGCCCTCCATGAAGAAGGTTCTTAAACCTGCCAAGAGCTCCAAGGGGCATCCATGAGGCCGCCCCCTCTAAGGAGGAGAGGCCTCCATGAAGAAGGTTCTTAAACGTGCATCCATGAGGCCGACCCTTCCAAGGAGGAGAAGCCTCCATGAAGAAGGTTCTTAAACCTGCCAAGAGCCACAAGGGGCATCCACGAGGCCGACCTCTCTAAGGAGGAGATGCCTACATGAAGAAGGTTCTTAAATCTGCCAAGAGTTTCAAGGGGCATCCATGAGGCCGACCCTTCCAAGGAGGAAAGGCATTCAGACGGCCGACCATTTCAAGGAGTAGAGGCCTCCAGACGGCCAACCCTTCCAAGGAGGAGAGGCCTCATAGGAAGCCGACCGTGTGAACATGAGTCCACATCTCCTGAAAGGCCACTGAGTGGACAAATGAGTTACGTCTGGGTTTGACGAATGTCAGTAATGCAGGCATTAATTACAAGCACAGAAACCACCTTTTAATGGACTGTGGATGATTAAAGGGGGATGTCGCAATAGGGGGCAAATTGGATGAGTGAACAGTGAAAAATGTGGTGACATGCTATGGGTCTGGGCTCATCGGCTAGTAGGCCACTCAAGTGTATGATCCTACCAAGAAAATCCACCCATGATGTAATCGCTAGGCTATAAAGGGGCAAGGTCCCGAATGAAAGAGGAGAGGATTTTTGGCTATTTTTCATATGTAATCAGATAATAGAGAGCTGATTGTATGTAATCCAAAAAGAGCCCAAAGAAAATACAATACACAAGTGGATGTAGCTCTTCATTAACAGAGTGAACCATTATAAATTTCGGGTGTCCTCTCATTTAAGCATTATTCTCATGCTTTAAAAAATATAACAAACACTTTATAGCATAATTTCAAATATACAGCTAATTTCTAGCCGGTAACCCCACGGGATACTAGAGGGTGATCCGGCGTATTTCTGTTGACGAAATTTCACCGTCAACAATTGGCGACTCCACTGGGGTCGAACCCAGAATCTCTGGTTCATACATTTGATCCCCGACAACAAAGAAGTAGTCAGCAACCATACCTCTAAGAAAAAGAGATGTTGCCATCAATCAAGGCAGCCAGATGGAGGAAACAACCACACATCCCGCGAATGACGGGAGTGGCAAAAACCAACCCCCGATAAGAAACGATGATCCACCCCAGGGGTTCCACAGCTTGACCCAGTGCAGATGCAGGCCCAGCTCAACACTTTGACTGACTTGGTGCGGGGACTAAAGACCGTGATCGAGCGATTTGATGGAAGAAACTTGATGCCGCCTCTGGAAGACGCCCCGAGACCACTGGAGCTGCCGTGGCTAGAAATCAAAATCTTGGTGACCGCCAGGATGCCCCAGAAGGAATCGTGGAGAGTAAAAACAGAGGCAATCCAAGGGCTCGACCTTCTTAATCTCTCGACAGCCGTCAAAGAGCCACCAGGCGCCGAGCCCAGGAAAACAAAGCAAAAAGAGGCAAGCCGAACCACGAAACGCCACCACAAAACCCAGGTAGAAATATCTCTGGAGATTCGAAGTCGGTGCAAGAGGGTGTAGATTCAAGGGGCGTCCGAACAGCCAACTCCTCCAAGGAGGATTCAACCAAAGATTCATTATAATAGCAAATAAATTGGCAAGCAAAAAGAGGCGCTAAAGAAAAATCCCAACATAGCTCGAGGCGGTCCAAAGGAAATCCTCGACCTGGGGGCAGATGTTGTGTGGGAAAATATGCGCTGTCACGTCAGAGACGGCCGACCCTTCCAAGGAGAAGAGGCATCCAGACGGCCGAACCTTTCAAGGAGGAGAGGCCTCCGGACGGCCGACCCTTCCAAGGAGGAGAGGCCTCCAGACGGCCGACCCTTTCAAGGAGGAGAGGCCTCCATAAAAAAGGTTCTTAAACCTGCCAAGAGTCCCAATGAGCTTCCATGAGGCCGCCCCATCTAAGGAGGAGAGTCATCCATGAAGAAAGTTCTTAAACCAGTATCCATGAGGCCGACCCCTCCAAGGAGGAGAAGTCTCCATGAAAAAGGTTCTTAAACCTGCCAAGAGCGCCAAGGGGCATCCATGAGGCCGACCCCTCCAAGGAGGAGAGGCCCCATGAAGAACGTTCTTAAACCTGCCAAGAGCCCTAAGGGGCATCCATGAGACCGCACCCTCCAAGGAGAAGAGGCCTCCATAAAGAAGGTTCTTAAACCTGCATCCATGAGGCTGATCCCTCCAAGGAGGAGAGGCCTGCATGAAGAAGGTTGTTAAACCTGCCAAGAGCCCCAATGGGCATTCATGAGGCCGACCCCTCCAAGGGAGAGATGCCTCCATGAATAAGGTTTTTAAACCTGCCAAGAGCCCCAAGTGGCATCCACGAGGCCGCCCCTCCAAGGAGGAGAGACCTCCATAAAAAAAGGTTCTTAAACCTGCCAAGAGCCCCAAGGGGTATCCACAAAACCGACCCTCACAACGAGGAGAGGCCTCCATAAAGAAGGTTCTTAAACCTGCCAAGAACCCCAAGGGGCATCCATGAAGCCGCCCCTCCAGGAATGAGAGGCCTCCATGAAGAAGGTTATTAAACCTGCATCCATGAGGCCGACCCCTCCAACGAGGAGAGACCTCCATAAAAAAGGTTCTTAAACCTGCCAAGACCCTCAAAAGGCATCCACGAGGCCGGCCCCTCCAAGGAGAAGAGATCTCCATAAAGAAGGTTCTTAAACCTGCCAAGAGCCCCAAGGGGTATCCACGAGGCCGACCCCTCCAAGGAGGAGAGACCTGCATAAATAAGGTTCTTAAATCTACCAAGAACTCCAAGGGGCATCCATGAGGCCGCCCCCTCCAAGGAGTAGAGGCTTTCATGAAAAATGTTCTTAAACTTGCATCCATGAGGCCGACCCTTCCAAGGAGGAGATGCCTTCATGAAAAAGGTTCTTAAACCTGTCAAGAGCCCCAAGGGGCATCCATGAGGCCGACCCCTCCAAGGAGGAGAGGCCTCCGTAAAGAAGGTTATTAAACCTACCAAGAGACCCAAGGGGCATCCATGAGGCCGCCTCCTCCAAGGATGAGAGGCCTCCATGAAGAAGGTTCTTAAACTTGCCAAGAGCCCCAAGGAACATCCATGAGGCCGACCTCTC